ACTTCGTTATAACCGAAGTTTTCGCTATACCCGACCCCGCTATAATCGGAGTAAATTGTAACGTGACTTACGTGGGCTCTACGCCGGGACCTAGAGTTTTTGTCGTTATAACCAATGTTGTTATAATCGAGATCAACTGTATTTCCATATTCCGTTTTGAAAATTGGTAATCGATTATAGATCATAAATTGTTAGAAACTTAATCAAAGAGGAAAGTTGTAATGCAGAGAAGTCACTTTTCCTAACAGAGGAGAACTTTAAGACCTCGTTACTGCATCTCTTTTTGAGTGGAGACACCACTTTCCCTGAGCTCTATTCTCGTCAAAATCTGAACACATGCGAATGAAATTGAGCTCGCGGGTGATCATACACGCTTAAGGAGGAAAGATCTACACTGTAAATAGTGTAATGTGCATAGCATGACTGATAATACCAGGAGAGTACCGGCAGGAAAGAAATCTTTACTCCTGAACCATGTAGCATTCGAACGTCTATCGCTTACCATCAATAGTGGTTGTTTGGGATGAATTTGTTCTCTCCCGATGAAACTTAAGGGTACTTCCCCAGTAATCTTATGCATCGATATTCAGCATGACTATTTGAGCAATGTGTTTTTTAGTCATATAGTTACTGAAAGACAGGTCATAATATCTGAATAAAACGGCATGAAGTGCGCATCCTTACTTTTAACAGCTGAAGAACACCAGACTACCATCAATATTTTGTAGAAAAGGGGAAGCATTTTCATCGAGTGATGAGAATAATTCGCTTTCTATTCCTTCAGACAAACGAAGACAGTCATGGCTTCCTTTTTGAAGCCTTACGAGTATCAGTCGAAATATGACTGCGGGATCATGCGGACCAAGTGCACCAGGACAAGTACTGCCTACCGCATTGGCTACGAGCAAGTGATAAGTCTGATGGAAGGATCCAATTTCGAAACCTCCTGAACCTTCTTAAGAGACGATCATCAGTTTTCACCTCGCAGACCATAGCAGAGACGATAACAACGGCCGAATGTTGCGAAGGATATGTCCATACTGGAGACAAATGTGAACCAATCTGCAGACCCGCGTGTGTAAAGGGAGTTTGCCATAAGCCAAACTCATGTCAGTGTCATCCTGGCTATGAAGGCGAATCGTGCGACTCTGGTACGTAAACTAGAATATTTAACATTCTATTTTTTAAATATCTGATCGGCTTTTTGGATTCGTAACAACTGCCGTGCATATATTAATTGTGAGAGTTCTGTAATGGAGGATAACATTTGAAATGGTATTTCTAGTTTCCTTCCTGGAGGCAAGAACTCATGAAAACCAATAATATTCTAAGAGACTATGCAGGTAATAACCCTTGTAGCATGTGGAGTGAAGAAATGGGGAGCCGGATGTGAAAATGACTGCGAATGCAAAAACGGGGCGCAATGCGATCCCATTCATGGGAACTGCATCTGCCTTCGAGGATGGATCGGAAGGCATTGCGAGGAACCCTGCAGCCTTGGGACGCATGGCCTCGATTGCAGCGAGACGTGTCTATGTCAGAATGAGGCAATGTGCGACCCTGTCTCTGGGATTTGTACTTGCGCTCCTGGCTGGATAGGAGCATAGTAAGACACTTCGTGTTCACATATATTCAGGGGAAATGTTTTGGAGTTGTGAAGGAGTATTTTGATGGCCAGTTGTGAAGACCCATGCCCCGAGGGAACATACGGCGAGCGTTGCGAATCTTTATGTGCTTGTCAAAATGGAGGAACGTGCGACCATATCTCAGGATATTGCAACTGCACTGCCGGTTGGATGGTACGTTTCTGTGTTCGAGATGATGGGAAACTAATGAAAGCTTTTTATGGATGGATACCTTAGAATATCAGGAAAAGTTTGACCAAGTAAGGAAAATACGAAAAATAAAGGAGACATAAGACAAACTGGGTAGCACAAGGACACAATATTTGAGGGGGAACGATGCCTGATGGGATGAAAGCAAAAATGTCCTAATGCAGAAAGAATTTACTACATGGATACGGGCTCCATGATGATCGAATCTATGTCGGAGAACGGTGGAAATGTCAGTTTACAGCATCTTCATAGGAATCCCGTGCACATCCTGCCATGTCTTAGCCCTTGAAACCCTTCAGACCCCGGCCCACAAAGTCTGGATCAGTTGAGCATCTCGATGTTGATAGTTTACCACAACAGCAGAGGTATCAAAGCAACGAAATAAATGCAATTCATCGAAAATCACTTAACGAGGTCTTTTATATGAACACACGAATTCCCTCAGTGTAGAGCCATGTTGAAGTGTAGGCTTTATGGAGGTCACAATGTGTGTTTCTTTGGCGTTACTTTATTTCATTACTCTCCATCATATCTGCGCACCGAACAGTACACCTAATCCCCACTTGAGGCCACCTGGAAATCCCATATCATTCCTTTCCAGTAAGAGTTTTCTATATTTTTCATATAGGGAACATTTTGTGAAAAACCGTGCTCGAGGTACTGGGGACCGGGTTGCAAGAACCCTTGCGATTGCCATAATGACGGCATCTGCAATTCAATCAACGGGAGCTGCTGGTGTCCTCCTGGGTATCAGGGAAAGCAGGTTTCGTTCGACTTCCAATCATTTTTGTTCATTTGACACGAGCAAGGAGTTAGTTCTCTGAGAAGAAGCTTATCAGAAAGAATATATGGATGCCAATATTAATGTTGTTACAAGGACCTATATGGGTACACCTTTTTATGGTTTATTTATTTTAGATCTATAAGTTTTAGATGCTTCAGCTGCGAAAATGTAGCTGTCGTCGGTTTTAATGGTTTTAAAATGTTCGTCATGCTATAGTTCCTTATCGAATTTGGCTCTTATGAATTTTATTTTAAAAAATCTTTTTGATTTCTTCGCAGTGCGAGATAAAGTGCCCATCTGGGAGATTCGGTGAGTTTTGTAGCGGTGTGTGCAGGTGTAAGAACGAGGGGGTTTGTTCTCACATCGACGGAAACTGCACGTGCAAAGAAGGATGGACAGGGGAATTTTGCGAGGAACGCTCTTGTTCCGAAAAACTCTACGGACCGAAATGTTCGAAGACGTGCGACTGCGAAGAGGCCAACACGGAATTGTGCCACGCTTGGACCGGCATTTGCGCATGCAAGCCGGGCTGGAACGGCGCATTTTGTTCCGAGCCTTGTCCGACTTCTTACTTTGGGAAGAACTGTGAGAACAAGTGCGAGTGTTGGAATAATTCATTCTGCGATCCAGTGAATGGCTCGTGCACCTGCAAACCAGGTGAGTTTGAGAACCGTCGTCCCCGTCCCTTGAAATTACTCGTAGGTATGCCTTGACAGAGAAGTTGGTCTCGACATTGCCATTCCTTTAGGTTACGTAGGAAACCAATGCGAAGACATGTGCCCCAAGGGAATGTTTGGAAATAATTGCAAGTACGCTTGCCAATGCGAGAACGATGCCGTCTGTTCGCATGAGGATGGACACTGCACCTGCAAACCAGGTTCAGCATTCTGGTATCCATAAAATTATATTTCATTAGTAAATGACTGTGATATTGAACAATCCTTTTCTGTGCAGGCTGGACAGCTCAGCTCTGCGACCTGCCCTGTTCTGCTGGCCGTTATGGTATCAACTGCCAAGAGGTCTGCCCGTGCCACAACGAGGCCTCATGCAATCACATCACAGGTGAATGCACCTGTGGTCCTGGATTCATGGTAAGTTTTCCATTATTTGTGTAACTTTGCTGTTGGTGAGATGAGTTAAATAAATATATTTATAAATGCAAGGCTCTTTTTGGAATTTATACTATCAGGGTCTCCTGTGTGAGGACTCCTGCGAGAATATGACATTCGGACTCAATTGTTCAGAAAAGTGCGAATGCGAGCTGAACTTCACAGAAATGTGTGATCCAAGAACGGGTTCCTGCATTTGTCGACCAGGCTTTCATGGTGATTCTTCCTGCATTATATCCGATGGAGCTCATTTTCGTTGGGTGGAGTTCTTCCAAACAAGTTGTTAATCTGTTGAATCTAGGCTTCGTTATTCGAGTCATTAAATATAATTTAAAAAAAAATGAGGACGACAAATACGTCTAATCTGTTTGCAAAGTGATTTAATATTCATTCATTATTTTCTCGATGATGTTCTTCATCAGTATCCTTCCGTGCGTCATCGATAATCGCTATGGATTGTGATGACAGCCTATAATTTCTTGATGGCAAAGCAAATTTTTTGCGGGTGGTAGACGCAGAAGAAAAATCGAAAAACTTATACCAAATGGCCCTAGGCTTAACTGATAAATTCTTGAACTACATCGAGGTTTTCCATTTAACATGATTCCACGAGACGTGAAGCCACGAAGAAAAAATATTTATGGTCTTTGAACGAATCTTAGAAAAGGTCCTTTGAGTTTAATTCTGCTGTCTCACAGATTTTCCTGTTTACACCACATCACATATAATCTATTGCATGCAACTTCTTCATAAGAATTTATTTTGCTCTGGCCATGGTTATGAATATTGTAGAACATCTGTATTTTCAAGTTACGCCCTTTCGGAGATTGGCTGAGCCACTCAAAATATTGATTTTCGAAAAATTAAAAGGACGTACAGTAAGTGTACAGTGGAAATACCTATAGTAGATGGATGGAGGATTGTGGACATCGCAGATACGTGGTATAGTACTCTTTAAGTACCATCTTCTGCAGGTGTGAAGTGTGAACGACGTAGCGGAAGAGCCTTACTAGGAGAGAAGTGCAGCAAGCAACGCAAATGCGAGGACGTCTCGATCTGCCATCCTGAAAAAGAGATTTGCGTCTGCATGAGTGGATGGACGGGGTCGGACTGCGACCGACCCTGTCCCCCTGGTTCTCACGGATTGGGTTGCGAGAGAAGTTGTTCGGACGGCTTTCATGGTAGGGGAATGTCTCTTGGGGTTTCGTTTCCGTGTAAATGACTGGAAATGGAAGGGGCAGAAGGGAATGAGGTTAGGCTCAATTTAACGATATTTGCCTCTAGTAATGAAATATACAGGGTATGCGGAAAAAGACCCTTGGCATTGAACCTATTAACCTGGAGCTCTTGTCCATTCTCAATGTCTAACTTCTTATTAATGGTTAATGGCTTCGGTTTTGTCCAACAAATTGAGATACAATATTGGAAACCAGATGGAACAACACTTACCTGTATCTATATGTAGTGAATGTTTTGCTACAGTGTGAGGGTGCAATTTTTAGATCAAAGTTCCTTAGATTTTTTTGCCAAACCTTGAGTATATTTCAGCGCGATTCTTACACCGTCTCCCGCATCAAGGAAAAAATAAAAAATAATAAATTTTCTTCATTTTGTTTCTCCTGCATCACTTTCCAGTACACCCTCTGAAGATGCATTAATTTACACCATGTCCGCAATCAATGACATGAGAACACATTGGACCATGGGTCAATTCTTAGCATTTCCAGATAGTTTCGGCTTTCATTCTTCACGAAGTGGAATGGAAGAAATTTTAAATGTGGCAGGGAAATAATTCAGAAAAAAAGCTTCAGGCAATGATTTTTGCGTTGGATTATATGTAGCGACTGGAACGTGTCATCACGTCACGGGCCAATACACGTGTGAACCCGGTTACACCGGCTGGAGTTGTAATGAGACCTGTCCAAAAGGTCTCTATGGGGACCAATGCAATCAAAGTTGCACGTGCAAGAACGATGGTATTTGTCATCACATCACCGGTAGGTCTCACGAATGATACTGCATCGCTCGAATCGGTGCCCATTGCCCATGATTAAGTAACTGATTTTCCGTAGGTAATTGTACTTGCCTGTCCGGCTGGAGAGGTGAAATGTGCGAAGAGCCTTGTCCCGAAGGAACTTTTGGTCTCGATTGCCAACAGAATTGTACTTGTCTGAACGGTGACCGGTGCAACGCCACGGATGGTCGATGCAAGTGCCTTCCTGGATGGATGGGGACTCACTGTGAAGCAAGTATGGATTTGTCCGCCTTCTCTTGGATATGCGACTCCTTTTCTTTCACATATTCTACACGAGTCATTCGATTAAGGTTGCCCGATGGGATATTTTGGAGATGGATGCTCCCAGGAATGTCGGTGCCCCGGTCAGAACTTCCGCTGCGATCCGAAAATAGGTTGCGTGTGCCGTGCAGGATACGCAGGTTTGTTGGGCATGGACAGCTGAAAAAATGGCATGACGCTCTTTCTTTAATATCACTATGGGGTAGCTCTTCATTCTTCAGGCAAGGACTGTGAGACAACTTCTTCCTTCGTGGGGATGGAGAAACAGGGGAAACAAGTATTATTCGGTATCGTCGGGACACTTCTTCTCACTCTCCTATTCTCCGGAATTATAATGCGCATCAGACAGAGTCCTTGCAACTTGAAGCATGAAGTTCGGAGATTGCAGATCCCTGACTCTCCGTCTCCAAGTAAGAAATCCTCCAGATCCTTCACGTCACTTCTTTGAAAAATCCCGATTTCGGTATTCTTGTTGCCGTATGAAATTGCGTTGGTTTCATGCTTCAATATAGTAGGAAATTATGAATTCAATGCAGGAAGTATGCTATCGGCTAGCGAAATTTCAGCCAACGGCAATGGGGTACAGTTCAAAGAATATAAGCATTCAGGTAATGAAGCGCTTCATAATATTTCCTAAAAAAAAAACCGAGAATTTAATTTTGAGATAATTTTGAAAATAGTGAGAACTATTGAAGGATATATGGAATTGCCGAAATCTTCTGACTTGTTCATCAATTTAGTGCACACATTAAAAAATCAATGTTTTGAAAGTTAGATGCATGGGATTGCTCAATTAATGATGCTAATGTGAGTATGAACCTTGAACATTTAAGCGCGTATTTCCAAATAACAGCATGGATACAGACACGATTTGTCCAAAGTCGTTCTACGGTCCTTCCCGAATGCTTGTGTAGTGCCACCCCTTTCGGTTAAAGTTTGCCGATCGTGTTAATTGAGTTATATTTCCCAACGCGGAGGAATATGGCCACCTCGACTATGGGCAATGTGGATACGACCTTGATTTCATGGGGAGAATGCACTAACGTATCAGGAGTGTGATGTAGCTTTTCTGTGCAACCGCATGCAGTAAGTGTTCAGCCTGTGGATATCCGCTGGACATCCGCATGAAATATGCAGCGGATATAAACACGCAACGCAATTTGAACATCCGCCGGACGAAGAGCAGAAAAATTCGCGACAAAAAGTTTGTGTGCAAGTGAATCACCAGTCCAACCGAGTCACGAGTCGACCCCGCATATGAGCAAGCATGCAAGCGTAACAATGGAGACGTACGTCGGATGTATCATTGTTACTTGGGACCACTTTCCAGAAAGAGTGCTTCTCCTGAAACGATGCCAACTTTTTCCTCTTGTCTCTTTTCCAAAGTCTCTTGGAATCGATTTGGAAAAGAGACGAACGCTCATTTCCAACGCATTTTTGCACGTCTTCCTGGGATTAAATAAATGATGAATCAATCAAGATCTTCGGAAGGTTGGAGGTGGTTGACACTGCGGGGACGTCATAATCAAGTTTCGACCTTTAGGGCCATATTCCCGCAAAACCATATTTTGCCCTGGGACATAAACCGATATACAACCTGGAGGGTTACCGCATAAATATTTCCTCCTTCTGGGAGTATTAACTTTCGTGGAAAGTAATATTTAATGCAGTAAATGATCAAGAAATTATTGAGATTTTTTGGAATACTTCAGCTTGGTTTCACGCTTGAATGATAATGCTGCGTTCATTACATTCCTTCACAATCATCCTTCAGCTATTTTTTTTAAATTACCTGTCTTATATTTGCTGCATGATATCCAATTCCGTTACTTGGTTCCGTTTAAAAAGGCATTAACGATGCCTTTCGTGAAGTAATTATGACAAATTTGGACATCTCCGTTGCAGAAAATTTCACGCGGAGACTCTCTTATTCTTTCCTAATGTATCTTTCATAGGCGAGTGCCAAAAAATTGAACTGAAGACTGAAGAGGCCGACCGAACGAATCCATTTTCCATAGATTTGAAGGCGGACACGAAAGACGCCGAGAACTCCTCGGAGCTTATCGCTGTCTCTGACCGACTAGATGTGAGTAGGGTTTCCGGGTTCTTCTGTGTAGCCTTACGTAATGAATTAATTATTTCATTCATTTTCTGAGGCAGGGGTGCACGACGAAGACATACGTGCAGGCATGAGCTCCGTGAAGACCACGTCGACGTCCGCTCCTATCCCTCTGGACCATTTCTTCCGAGCTGTTCCGATACTATCCAAATAGCGGGAGTGTCATGATAGTGCTCATTTGGAAGATAATCGCGACTGCTAACCAGTTCGATGGCCTTCAAGGACCTTTCCGCGTCTTTGGAAGTATATTCAGGGGCTACGATTTCATCAATGAGATTTAGATGCTGCATTTATTCGTCAACGGATGCTCTTCAGATGCTAAACATATCGAATTGAAATGTTGATGCCATGTGAAGGGTTCCAATACCTGCGAATGCAAATTTTCAAACCGAGCCAGCTTTGATAGTTTATATTGATTCATTATGACAAGTGCCTTAGCTTCAGATACATATGAACCAATGTTTATGTCTGTTCATCACCTTTGTTAGATATGGATGGTCCTTTGATGGAACGAACAAATTACAATCTATTGACATGAACGTGTGTGACTGCCATGAGGTTTTTCTCGTGCGTTCATTGTTTCAATGCGACCTTTCAGCGTTCTTCGATTTCGAGATCCCGAGTAGAATTGGAGGAGAAATGGAGGGTCTTGATATGACCTAAGAATTTCGGAAATCTGCATTGCTTCCAAATTCTTGGACTAAGAAATCGCAAAAGAAACCCGGAATCCGGAAATGTCTAATGCATTCATTCTTTGAGTCCAATGATTGGTTCCTTCCTTGAATATCATCATACCCTTACGAAAACGTCCTGCAATAATCCACTAAGCTTTTCAACACGAAAAATCCACAGAATTCCTTATATTCCAATAGTCATTTTATGCGACTTTTTCGTTTGTGTTAAGTACCCTTACGAAAATGTCTTATAGGATTCCTATATATTCCTTTAGGAATATATA